ACCATACTAAGAAACAAAGTCCATTTGCTAATTAGTTTCAGGTTTCTCAAGCAATATCTGATTACCGGCGTCATATTTGTCTTGTGACTCTGAGTCTCAATGGACCAGCTTGAGTAGTTTAGCCGTTCCACAATAGACCGATACGAAAAGTTTCCACACATAGTACTTGACACATTAGTCAGTTTAGTTTACGGATTTCTGACAAATCGCATTTTCTTGGCGCCCTGATGTTGTGTCCGGTCCGATTAATTAGGACTGATGTTTTCCTTTTGTCCGCTAGCGAAGTTTAACAACCTTGCCAACTTTCAGACTTCTTATGAGCTACGTTTATTATTGACCTTCTGTATCTCTGTTTTACATGTCTGGTAGTGAGTTCCCTCAGGCAGAGCTCGACCATTATTTCTGCCTTCTTCGCGGTCACAACCACGAACTCGCACTTCACTTTATATCAGTAACAATATTGCTACTCACGTTTCTATTAGTAGCGTTAACGTAATAATTCTCAGAAAAGATGTCAATGGCTTCCTGAATTCTTCGCTAGGTACTCGATCTAAAATCATGCACACTGACAAAAGTTCCAGAAGATGTTGTAGACGCAAGCAAAATTCATCAGCGAAATACCAAGTTTTCCACCCTCTTCTTCGTCAAAATGAGGGAGGTTGACTAGTGGGAGGAGCCTACATTTGTGTTTTAGACATAACGATATTATTGTCGTCGTCAAGAAAGACAGAGAGACTTGGGGGGCTCACAGCTGACAAGATATCCGCATGCCTGACAGCCACAATCTGAATGCCCAACCCGACAGTTCGACCGACGTCGTTCGATTCCGACGATATCCACCGTGTCCCTCACATCAAGGTGGGAGCAGGGATGGTGACTTGTGCGTGAATTAGTTTATTGTAATAGTAGACCCGCCCAGCATCTACCGCACACTCTCCTCCCCCACTTGGACCCCGTGTCAAGGCCGGAGGTGAGGGAGGGCGCAGGTGGATGGCACGGTCGAGTCCGCACCCTGGTGCTCCACTCCACACCTCCTGGTCCACACAGAAAATGACCAGGTTTTTCACCAACAGTGGCAGAGGTCCCGCTGCGCGTGACCTCTGTCGGCAACCGGTTCTGCCACCGCATCCCAAAATGTTGGCATTTGTTACGATGCACGAATTCGATCACATCTGCCAGAGTCCGATATGGCCACCGTGTTGGTCCAGTGCACGTACCACGTGGCCCGTTTGGGGGGCACATGCCCAACCCTAAGCTGTAAAAACGCACAGGATGTGAGTCGGCGCTGTGTAGTCCAGTTCAAACGCAGTCCTCACGACAAATGCCAACGGCGTGCGCCAACGAGCCAGCTGGCGTGAACAAGGAGATAGTGAAGCCTTGTGTTAAGTGAGCCATAGCAAATCGATAAATGAACCGGATACCGCTTGCTACTGAATGGCCTTGCTAACGGGGCGATTGGGTGAGTCATGCCGTGTCGTAGACTGAAAGCCAGCTGCAGGCGGAAGATTGAAAATGAAAACAGAATCTGTGCGGTCTGGCCATAGGAATTTTGCAGGATTTCCGATGTTATCAAAAATGGCCAGGTTGTAGTTCTGATTAATGACGATGGAAAATGGGGTCCCATTTTGAATTTTCATATTGTACTTGGCTATAAATGCAGTCCTGGAATTTTATTTGGTTTCCGTCAGCTTTTGCAGATTCCCTAAACTTGGCTCGGTCGCTTACCTCAAAGATACCTCGACCTCTAGGGAGTAAGTCTTTAATAAGATGGATAAATTCTGGAACAAGGCAGCAAGCGGAATGAGGCGGCAACCATTGTACAATAAAAATATTTTTCGATATATTTCATACTTATTTTCCTTGTAAGTTCGTTACAGTACTTCGGGTTAGTATTTTCTAAGAGAAGATAAAATATATAACGTAATCTCGTAAGTGCCGTTTATACTTTTCAAGGGTACATTAGAAAACTGAGCTGGAAATATGTATTATTGTCAGGGGCATTAAAATCCGGTATAGTTCAGTGAATATCCTGTCTAAATGTCAGTATACCCAAGTCAGCCTACGATTGCAAACAACATGTTAGGGATCAACAGCAATGCTTCTTAGTCCTTGAAGCGAGTTATTCAGACAATTGCCTTTCGACTTTGTCTGAACTGCCTTAAAACGAAATTTCACGAGGAAATATAATTCTGATTGTACTCACAGCCTTAAAGAAAGCCCCTACACAATCTCTTCATTAGGCTCAAGCAAATTCGAGCTCTCAACATGAAAACTAACCGTGTTGCTGCGCCCTCCACCAAACTCGCAAACCCAAGTGGGTAACAATCGGGAGATGGCACCCAAAAAATCCGTTACCTAGAAATAATACCTTTAACAGTGGACTCAAAGGCCTTCAGGCTATATCAGCGGTTACAGACCTACTTTCACGCACTGCTTGGACTTTCCCCGACGGCCTATCATGGGCTGGCCGAACAAACATCGCAGAAGGTTACATGGATGCCGGTCGCTGTTACCCAACCTTTCCCATCGTTACACACGTACATCTGAATATACGGCATACATTCGCATTATGGCAGTTTATTACAAAACCAAATCACTTTTAAATAGGATAAGTCAGCACAACATGGAGCAGGAACAGTTCCCAGGCATCTGTCAAAGACATGGTATTGATGCCAAACCAAAGACGATACTGTACTTCGTCTACGTGTGCCCACAGAGCTCGACCACATGCAGGGCCTCTCTCGTAGACTTTCCTTTTCAGTCTACTCCAGTATGCCTCGATGGCATTGGTGTGCCGTCCGATGGTAGAGTCCTTGAAGTTCTTTGAGTGGTTAACAGAGAAATGTAGATAACCTTCTGAGGGAAGTTGATTATACGCCTCCACTCGTCCGTTACCACTATACACGGGGATAGGTGCCCCGTGGAATTTAGGGCGTGGCCACCTATGGTATAGGGGATCCATGTGTAGCTGCCCGCTCTTACGACCGTCAGCGCCACCGCTTGCCCATTCGGCCCCCGGCGCGCCTGGCGCGCGTGAATCAACCTCCAGCTGACGACGCCGTGATGCCGATCGATATTCTTCTCTTTACCGATTTGTCGCAGGCGGATGAAGTTCAGCCGTGAGAATTTCGTCTGACGCTTGCCTGATGAGGACTCCAGCTGCAACTGCTGGGCTTCCTATGCACTCTAGGACTCGGTAAAGCATTGTCCATGTAACTGCCCTCACTGCCCTCTGGTTTGGGTATCTCCAAGCTGTCGACCATCACACCTAGACACATTCCCATTTCTGACCGCTTGTCGTCAATAGACAGTGACTTCAAACATAACAGGTCATCGATCTTCTTGCTGTGCAGAGCATGTTCGTTCCGTGATGTCATGGAACTCAATTTATAGTCCGGGCAGGCGGTCAACGTGTCATCCAAACCTGGGATTAGGGAATGACTGCCTGCTGATGGTTAACAACCCCAAAATGCCAGCGCAGTCTCCCCTACCGTTGTCGGCATTTATTTTTCTGTCAGACGGCCAATTCCAGACCAATTAAGAGTTAGTTAACCCAAAATACTCTCCACGGGGTATTGCAGAAGCCGACTTGTCATAACTCCTCACACTACCAGAGTTGCGTTATAATCAGCTCATTCAACAGCTCGGACTCGGATGTACCTAAAAGCATCTTAAGTTCGAAGAGGGGAGAGGTGGGGGAGTGTTCGCTAGTTGCGTAGCAGTCGAAAGGTCAGTGGAAGACCTTTTGACGTTAGTAAATCCTGCCTTTTTACAAAAATGAATTTTTTAAAGTTATGTTGAGATCGAAGTGCTTTACATTATCAAGCCTCTAAATACTTCTTGCAAATGCTGCATCGAGAGGATTCTTTAGCTCATTAGACTTTTGTCAGTGTATATATCAAAATAGACCAAAATCATGCATTATGCCTGCTTATTTCCAAAAGCATAGTAGCTGAAAACACTTCCCCCATTGTGATTGCCGTTTTGGAATTGCTGTAATACTTTAAAATGAGGAATGTGGCCACCTACTGTATTGAGTAGATATTTCTTAACATCAGCCTCGGAGTAAACGAAGGACAAATATCCACGTGCCCAGTGTATGGTGTTCATGGCAACGGACAGATGAGAACGATGCCATATTTCTCCCTAAGTGATAGATCACGTTGTAGAGTCGAGGAAACGCTTATTAGCAACACCCTGCCCCAGATGAAGTCATCTCTTCAAAAAGTCAACGAAAAACTGCCTAGACTTTTGACTTGTAGCTTTCTGCGGAGCATGATGAGAAGATTTCAATTCTTTAAGATAAATAGTGTCCACTTACAGAAACCAAAAACGAGAATGCGTCTTCGACGTGGGGGCTGGGGTTGGGGAGGGCAGGAACAGTATTAATTGCATCCGCGCCCCGCAACGGGGACAGGCCGCGTGTTTTATCTAAAGCCTCGACGATTCAATCAGCGGCAGCGATGCCAGCATCTCTACGAGAGGTTTTCAGGACGTTTCCTGTCAGATGGCTTAAATCTCCCGCGTGCAGTTACAAACAAAAGGCGCTTGTTTGTAGATGTCGACAAAATATATTGCTTCCCTGTCCCGGCGAACAAGTCCCTCATATCAAATTGCCGAACTGAGCAAGTTGATTTTCAAGTTAGCGTGTGACCCTAAATGTTGTGGTTAGAATCTCACTCGATTCCATTCTGTTCCCCCGCCAGCTTACTACTGACGACAATGAAATTTGTGTCATAGGACACATGCCACGTATAACACACAAGCCACTCACTAGCAGTGCAACAAGCCAGATGCAACCAGCTGTTTCACGGTCTGTTGAACTCTTAGTAAGTTGCTTACGTATGTATTACATGTGGTCTGTGTCCAACGACACAACGTTTGTTGCCTCCAGTAGCAAGCTGGCGGGCGGACAGAATGGGATCGAATGAAATCCTAGCCACAACAGTCAGGGTCACACGCTTACTTGGCATGTTTATATACCCCACTTCACATGGCCCATGGCGTACGGACGGTCGGTAACGACCGTGAAACGGCTGTCTGCATCTGACCTGTTGTACTCCACGTGGGGTGCGGAGCGGCGTGCCGAGGCGCGGGCTCGACCGCGCTATCCACCTGCTTCCTCCCCCGCCTCCGGTCTTCTTGACTGCGTCTTGACACCGGGCCCAGGTAGGGGAGGAGAGAGTGCGGTAGACGTTGTGCAAGTCTGTTATCACGATAAACTAATCCACGCACAAGTCACCGTCCCTGTTCCCACCTTTCTGTAGGGCATACGGTGGACTTCATCGACAACGACGGTCGAATTATCGTGTACCCTAGGTGAGCCGCTTACAAATTGGTTTTCTGTTGACAAATGTTATTTATCGCCGCCTCATTTAATGAGATAACAAACGAGGTTCGCCATCAATGAGTACAGGTTGAAGAGGCGACGTCCTCTAAAAAAATAATGATTTTGCTTTTCGTGAGATTGGATAGTTCGACCACTTAGTAAATCCATTAACGGCGCCTGATTTTTGACACAGGAATTATTTTGCCAGCCCCACCTTTTAACCGCACGCACAATTTTTTTCAGCAGATGCGAGACAAAAATGACCGTTTCTCCAATTTTCGCACTTTCTAGGCGTTTTCCCATTACTTTACGCCTCAAAGTACGAACGGATTTGTTTTCCCTAACTCAAAATTTCCTGCGATACCTTGTGCACTCACTATATATTTCAGGTTTTCCTCCGTTCTTGCAGGATTCATCCGTTCGGTTAAAAACGGTCTTAGGCTTGTTGAAGCACAGCACCACTACTGAGTTTTATGACAATTATGGGTTCCTTGGAGTGCCGAGTTGCGCTCTCCAGTTTGAAGTAACCTTACTCTTTAAATCTGGATCAGGATCGCGAGGAATTCCACCTAAATAATGGGCCGAAAAGTGTTGTCAACGATGTCTATGGGCGCCACGTGCACAGACAAGCAGACGACCGAATAGCGGAGACAAATCAACAATCCGAAACGTCATCGCAAATGACCAAAGACACTAGAACGATCACTCCTTGTATGTCACTCATCACCGACCAGTGATAACCAAACTGCAGGCGTGGATTCAGCGGGGCTTTGAGTTTAAGTCCTGTGGATCGTTACTGGCATAAAAGTCATCGGCGTTGGTGTATTACTTGCCGCTGACGGCTGATAGGCCAGGAATGTTCTTAGCCTTTGATGACAGTATTTTTCGATTACTGATCGGCATCCGCTATGCGGTCACCTGTGTGGTTGTGGATGTGGCGCCGAAAAGAAGTAAAGAAATACTCATTCACTTCTTTCTGCCAGAGCAGATAGGTAAAATTTAAAGTTCATGTGGCACTGGAGCCTAACCAGTGGAATAGTTAGGATGACAGTTCGGTCGTTGTTGCTGACGATGCCCATCGTGTGCGCGGCAGCATGGCAGGTGCAGGTACGGTGACTTGCACGCGAGTCAATTTATCGTGATAGTGGACTTGCACAACATCTACCGCACTCTCTCCTCCCCCCATCCACCTAGGCCCGGCGTCAAGACAGAGTCAAGAAGACCGGAGCTGGGATCGGGCGCAGTGGCTGACAAACCTAAACAGCCTGTCTACGTGCGCCACACACGTCTGGTCCGCGAGCGATGAACCAGATCTGCACTAAAACAATGGAGGTGGAATTCAAATTCCAACTGAGTGTGAGTGCCAGAGACGTCATGTTAAGAAGCAGCCATAGCAGCCTGACTCGCTGTTCTGGGAGGAAGGCTGAATTATTCCGCCAGTTGGCAGCCTTCCAAGCCCTGACTTTGAGGTCATCGGAAGTACCGCGAGCAGGAAATATCCAAACTATGGAACCAGACTATGAAGCCGAAAAACCCACTGCCATGGCAAGAAACGTCTGGAGTCGTTTATCGGATCTGGTTCACTTGCGGACAAAGCAACTACGTCGGAGAAACCGGAAGACAGCTCCGAACGCCAATGACCGAACACGCTGCAGCGGTGCGGAGAAATGACGCTAGCTCTCAAGTTGCGGCTCATTCGACGAGATCCGGACACACATACAAGTTCGACGAGGCCGAAATTCTCGCTAGAGGTGACAACCGCGTGAGCCCCGAGCTGCTTGAGTCATACTTCACTGGTCTCCCGTCTATTAACAAGTGCAACGACCTTCCTCTATCATACTCGGTGCTGAGACTTCGTTTAGGCGAGGTAATTAGCCACGCGGGGAGCGCACAGGTGAACACTTGTCCCAACAACAGGGCCGGTGCGTCAGATGGTCGAGAAATCATCACACCAACGCACGTGATGAGATTGCAGCAATTAACGACGCGAATGTCGGCCATCACACAACGTGCGACGATCCCGTATGAAGGGGGGAGCCGTGAATATTCATAGGTATGCGGCAGCATGACGACTGCATCCTATAAATACTGCAGCCACTTACGCATGAACCAACCGTATCTGCTTTGTCTCTGATGATGGGTTCGAGCAGGAATCCGAAACGTCAGGCTAATAAAGCTCTTGTTCCAGAGATCTTTCCGCCTTCTTCAATATCCAGACTCGACCTCACGCATCAGTCCGCTGTCCCAGCCTGTCGGCCATCGGAGTTGGGGCTGGGCACTGGCAGGGCGCGGGCCGGTGCCTAGGTGTGTCACAAAATCCCCCACGCGGGACACCTGTTATGGGGGTAGAGCCTAAATAACGCCCACCATGCCCTGATTTGGGCCTCGTGTTGATCCAGCGCATCTTCCGCATGGTACGTTGTAGGCGACAAGTGGCTGAGCTATTGGTATACGAACACGCAATAGGAGCAGACAAGATGTGAAGCATGAACGTCATGGATGAGACCTACCTGCACAGCTCCCTAAACATGGCATGGGAACATGTGCGCCCGCCCAAGTAATAAAGGTAGACCTGTTCCCCTGTCCTAACCCCGATGATAACCCTAATATAAAACGAAAGCGTAGCCCTAATCTCGACCCTAACCCTAAACTAAACCTTAAATCCGTAGTTAACACTAACCTATACCTTAATCCTAAACTTGATCCAGACTTACCTTACCGTTAACTTCAAATATTGTCTTAAGCCTAGTCCTTAACGTAACCCTAACCCTTATTCTAATCCTAACCTCACCGCAAGCTGACTTAAAGCCTCCCGCATTTCAGGCGGTTCCTGTTTTCCTGTCCCGCCTGGGAGGCTATGTAAGTCAGTCCTACGGAGAACTGAGACGATTTTTAGGTTGTGACTTTCTACAGCGACCAAGAAGATCCCGTAATCGATCACTGGTATTTCCGACGATCTTTAGAGTGAAACAGGCAAGCAGTTGCTGAAACCTACCAACCGTACGAAGTCTTGAGTGAATCCACTTGCACACGCACGAGCATGTGTGGGCGCGTGTCTGTCCATTAAGGAGGTTGCGGCGCGGATCGATAAAGGGCAGCCGTTTTGATGTCAATTCCAAATCTCTCATCGGTTGGCGGCTTCCCGCTTAGTAGACCAGTGTACTCAAAATACAGACAGATAACAACATTCGGAGGGGATAACAGAGGAGGAGTCATAATCGACAAAATCAACCATTAACGAGAGAGTCGGCCTGGTAGCTCATTGTGTGTCATGTGACGAAAGTCCGGTGAGATCGCGCGAAAGTCCAATAGAAGACATCTGAGTAGGTCAGTCATTAGTAATTCAGTTTTGGACACGGCCCAAAAACTGCGAAAACAGGCACCATTCACGATTTACGGAAATACAACACCCGATTCATTTAAAATGAAAACGTGAGTCCTTATTAAGCAGTCAAAAAGATACGTAATAAATCCGCGTCTGGCTCAGAAGTATGATGTTTCCAAGAGGGTCATTCACAGAATACTCATGAAATGTCCTTTTCTGTCATACCTCTCAGCTCGACTACAGGAACTTCAGTCCAGTTATTGTAGACTGGCCGAAAATGTTCTTTTCATGGTTTCTACCAGTAGGCGAATTTCTGGGTATTCTCTTTACCGATGGGGGCATGTTCTGTCCCACTTTTTGGGGAAATGGGCAACCAGCGCCGTATAGTTACAATGCGCGGTCAGTATACTCAGAAGGTCGTGATTTGCACCACTTTTGTAATTAATCGACCATAGGCGTCCGAGCGGGAGAGGATCTACGAGACCCTAAGCCTAATTCTAATACTTATTTCAATGTAAGCTGGCCCAAAGCCACCCGCATTGCAGGCGATTCCTGATTTTATGTCTTGTTTAGGGACCATATAAGATAGTCTTAACCTTTATTGGCCTGACATCCCGGATTCTCATCCAAACCCATCACCAGAGACACTTGCAGAAAGGGGTACTAGAGGTATACGTAGCGCAGTATTTATAGGACGCAGTTGCAGGCCTACTGTAAGTAGCAGCACTTGCGTTCATCGCTGGGGTCCTAGTTGATGCAATGATTGCTTGTCGGTCCCTACCTGACGCGTCAATGGCCGTGATTTCATCCCCGTTGTTGATTCATAGGGTGACGATTACCCGGAAATTTAGCTGACTGTCACCGGAACAGCTGGTAGCCCGCACCCTTTCCTCGTTCCGCGCCCTGCTCAGGCAAGGTCGCAGCACAGAATGTGGAGGCGGAGGGCCGTTGTTAATTGAATGCAGTCCGGAAAAGAATGACTCAGGCAGCCCACGGCTCACGCGGTTGCCAAACCTTGCGATGATTTCAGCCTCATCAAACTTGATGGCATGGTCGGGTGCCGTTGAACGAGCCTCGATCTGGGAGGTAGCGCCATTTGAGTAAGAATCCGAAACCTCAAACCAATAAACTTTTTGTCTTGATGATCGCATTTTCTTATCCTGAGCCGCTTTCTAGGACTTGCCTGTTAGCATCTACCAACAGGGGGAAGATGTGCCAAGAAAGTAAAGAGAGACCTGAATGACCATTTCGGGGTTTTAGACGTCTTCAGTCGATCTGGATGGCCTCAAATTCGAGCTAGTGATTTTGGCCTTGTCAGGCTTGAAGGCCTGGCCGATTCTCGCCAAATGCGCCGCAAACTGAGAGCTAGCGTCACCCCTCCTTATTGCTGCTGCTGCTGCTGCTGCTGCTGCTGCTGCTGCTGCTGCTGCTGCTGCTGCTGCTGCTGCTGCTGCTGCTGCTGCTGCTGCTGCTGCTGCTGACGCTGCTGCTTCGTGTTCGGCCATTCGCGTTCAGAGTAACCTCACAATATCTCTGAAGTAGTTGTTTTGTCTGTAACTTCACCAGATCCCGTAAGTTACTCCGAGCGTGTCGTTCCGTGGCAATTGGTCTTTCTGCCTCGTGCTCTGGCGCCTGATGGTTGCATCAGGTCGGTGTGCAACTCCACCTCCGAGTGGTCTGAGAAGGCGGCTGACGGCTTCCGAGATGTTATCCACGTACGGAAGCGCACGCCAAGATGTAGGGCTGGCTGGATTTGGTCTCTGGTACCGTCTGTTTATGTGCTGGTTAACAAAGTTGCGCGGATGGCTATTAGCTCTCAGTATCCGTCGAATACATTGCAATTCAGCATCCTTGTCTTCCGTTTCACTGCACTGCGTCTCGACACGTCAGTATAAAGCCCTTACGCAACTGCGTTTGTAGCTGATCGGATAGTTGCTTTTGAATCTCAATACTTGCGTCGTATTGGTCGTTTCCTGAACGCTTCAGTTTTTAGGTCATCACAATGCTTGCGACAGACGAGGAGGCCAAGGAATAACAACTGGCTTCTCTCTTCCTCTTCCATTGTGGATTGTTTATCAGGGAAGATGACGTCGGATGTTCTTTGAATGTCACCACCTGACCCTGTTCGACGAGTACGAAGGTCTCATCTGCATACCGAGCACGGAATTTCAGTCACTGATGTCGGAAGACCAGTGACTCCGACCGCTGTAGGACTCCCCTAGTTATGAGTCCCGAAATCGGCAAACCCATTGGCGTGCCTTTCACCTGCTCGTAGACTGTTCGGTCGAACGTGAAGTACGTCTTGAGACAGAACTTCATGAGTTGGCGGATTTGACGAGTTGATTCTCCGTTTCCTCGTATCTGTTCTGTTGGAGTGATTCGATAGTCTCGATTGCCAGATTCTGCGGAATAGAAATAAAAAGAAGCACGACGTCAAAAGATACCATGAGGTCTCTCTCCAGGAGACTTACCCCTTTAAAGTTTCTCAAATAATTGTGTTGACAAGTTGACTGTGATGCCTGAATCATCGGTCAGAAATGTAAGACGTCGAAACAACTATTTCCAGTCCATAAGTTGGAGTGTGTTTGAGTGATACGATGGGTCAGAGAGGGGCGCTCTGTGGGAGACCATAGAATCGGACCAAGGCAGTTTTTTGCGCTCTCGCTATGTGTCGATCAGTCAGCGTTATCGCGCCTGAGTTCTTCATTTCCGATCATGTCGCATGAATTTTGCGTGCCGACGTTCTTATGGGATTAGATTCGTATGGGACATAGCACTTCCCTAGCAAGTTTTTGACTTTCTGTACAATACGACAGTGGAACACCTCTTGCCTGCAGGCACGATAACGAGGTCTTTTTCGGCCCTGAGTTCCCTTAGGGCATCGCGGTCGACCTAAGGAATCGTTTCGCGCGGCCTATGGGCCATGAGGAGAGATGTCACTTAATGGCGGGTATGCTTCTTCGTTCCGTCTGCATCTTCCGTCTGGCTGAGGATTGACTCTACTGATGCAACATTGTTAACAGGTTTGACCTCAGTTGTGTCAAATGAAGCCTTATGTGCTAAAATCTGCATTTTTTCTCCGCCAATTCCTTTAACGACTGGTTGGACACCACTTTGTCGTTTTTTTATGATGCTGGATCAGGTAGCTTACGGAACATGCTCTCCAGTGTCCATGGGTTCGTTCGGCCACCCTCTGATGAAACAGTTTTGTACCGTTCTCGTCCATGAACTCACAGCACCTCGTATCCTCTTCCTCCATTGTCTAACGGTATTCGTGAAGCCTCGAATGGCAGCGTCATTTTGAGCTACTCCCTGGAACTCGCCTAACCGGCTTCTATCGGCAAGATGTGTACCCCGCTAAGTTGCTAGATCAGTCAACTCAACTCTTCTATGACCAACTGGCCTTGTTTCAGATCTTTCAACTTTACGAGCTCAGTGTGGGGTATGCCTGGCTGCTGACGGTGCAGCAGCCCGAGAAATGGTTGTGCTTTGAAGCGCTACGGTCATCAGGTCACGTACAGACTAACAGGGTGAGGCAGACGGCACCAGAACAAGGAGTCTTATTGTGCGCAGAACCCTGGTTTGCAGTCTTAGATGGCACCGCCCACTGGCAAGACCAGAAGATGCGCAGAAAGGGTTAAGCCATGCTCGAGGGAGATAGTGAGACAGTGGTTTCAGCTGCTCTTGTGGGTTTGAGGGAGTAAGTTCGAGTGTTGTCTAGTTGGTGTTCGTTGCAGTACTGAAGAGTGGCGTGTTTAAATGGGGCGTACACGGCTGTGGTCGTCTGAATGCGCGTGTGTGCACATGCTGTGGTCGGGCAGACTGTAAGGTTGTTGGAAAAGGGAATGACCCTGGTGTGGGGGGGGGGGAGGGGGAATATTCCGGACAGCGCAGTGATGACTGTTGACTGAATACAACGACAGATAGGCACAAGATGGTCATTTCTGTCCCCTTGCCTTCGGCGGTACTCCTTCTGAAG